GGGGGGGTGTTGCGTTCACATTGACTGGGTCACCTGAGAAGCCCGGTCTTTGTCTTTCCATCCACAAAGAGATCCCATCACGCCCGCGTGCCCTGCTGAATGTTTCATTACGGTGCATGTAAACCTACGCGCTTCGCGCATGCATAGTGTGCGCTCATTCATCTTGATGCGTGTCGGATGGTGTGAGACGTACGTGCGCTGCGGTATCTGCGCGGTTTTCCCAACAAGTTCGCTCAGAGAGAGAGTGCGTGTGTGTGTGTGTGTGTGTGTGTGTGTGTGTGTGCGCGTGTGTGTGCGCGCGCGCGCTCAGCACCAGCAGATGGGTCAGCAGCAATCCACTTGACTCGCTGTGTCAACAGTGGAAGGCTGGTAATGGGGTTTCTGTGAGACCTGCTCCGTGGTGCAGCTATTGAGCAGCACGAGCCCATAACGAAGCCTGACACGGGATGGGGTTCCACTGTATGTGCAGTGTGATGCCAAGAAATATGTTTAACTTCTTTGTTAGGTAATATAATGACTGCACACACAAAAAGGATTTATAGTGTCACCACAATGATAATAATAGCACAGTATGTGGCACATCTCTTTTCAAACACCTATGCCCTACTGCAAGCATACAAGCAGTTTATTTAACCTCTGTAAAGGCCCCCGTCATTTTTTGTCTGCCCTTATTTAACTCTCCTATATGCAAAACATTCATATTGTGGTTGAAGAATCGGGATGCGGGCTTGTATACGGCTAAACCTTAATGAGGCAGTGGACATTTTATGAGCAGCAAAGCCGGATGCTCCAAATTCTTTTGATTAACAGAAACATTTTATTTTTATTTTTTCGTCTTTGTTTGTGTCTCTTGGGCAGCTTTGCTTTTCTAATTTTCTTGTGGCGATCTGTGCCATGAAAGAAAAATAAAGCTTGAAGTCAAGCAACATGGTCTGCAGCTTGATTTAAAGCTCGGGGAAGCGGACAAGACTCAGGAATGAAATGTGTTTTCACGCAACAGAGGAGCTGTGTTTGTCATTTAAAAGCTCCCAGCCAATGCCTTCATTTGGACTGTGCCGACCAACAGACGGATACCAGAGTATAGCTCTGATTATCACATTTGAATGTACTGTAAGGACTATGCTGTGGTACACATTTGACTCCAAATGACCATGAAAAAAAATGGACAAAGAGGCACAAAGCAACTACAAAGAGGCTCAGAATGACTACAAAGAGACTCATGACGACTACAAAGAGGCTCAGAATGACCACAAAGAGACTCATGATGACCACAAAGAGGCTCATGATGACCACAAAGAGGCTCATTATGACCACAAAGAGGCTCATGATGACCACAAAGAGGCTCATGATGACCACAAAGAGGCTCATGATGACCACAAAGAGGCTCATGATGACCACAAAGAGGCTCAGAATGACCACAAAGAGGCTCAGAATGACCACAAAGAGACTCATGATGACCACAAAGAGGCTCAGAATGACCACAAAGAGGCTCATGATGAGCACAAAGAGACTCATGATGACCACAAAGAGGCTCATGACTACAAAGAGACACAAAATCACAACTAAGATACTCAAAATGACTACGAAAAACACAAAATATAACTTCAAAAGGACAAAAGAATTATTACAAAATGACCCAAAACAACAACAATGGACCCAAAATAACCACAGAGACAAAGATTATGCTTATGTGTAGGAGAGGTGCAGGGGGCTTTTGTATGTCTGTGCCCAGGGGCCCCATTGTCTCATAATCTGCATTTGAGTCTGACAATAACTCTCATAAATGGGCTCAATGGTTGTATAGAATATCGGATTAAATAGCAATTTTGACCATTAAAAAAAAACAAGGTCCTTCTCACATGTGACAAAGACAATCAAACTGCCTAAACACCAACACAGTTAAACTGCGTCTAGGTCTGAGCCACACTATGCTGTAAATCAGCAAAGAGGTGACAAACCCATAAACTTTACTGCCTCCATTTTCCTGCCATAGCTCGGATTGACACACTTTTATTTCTCCCTTAGAAGAAAGAACGTGACGCAACCGAGCGCCGCACTCTTGCATTCCTCCGGCTCCATCCTGAACTCTACGCGACTGAGACATCTCCCACCAACGCAGCTGTGGCTGTGTTTTTCCCTCTCAGGTTCATAAAAGGCTTCTATTCATTTTCGCATCCTATCTTTACGATCTGTGGAGGCGTGTTTGACACTCTCCACGCAGGCCTCGATGGAAGCAGTCATTCATCCTCCATCCTTCCTTCCTCGTCTCTGCCTCGTCTGCTTCGCTCTTAATGCTCTCTCACTCACACACACACACACACACACACACATACCTGTTTGTTTTCCCTGAGAACAAGGGAGTCTCATAATACCCACTGCCAGCAATTATTGGAGATTAAAGTGTGTGTGTGTGTGTGTGTGTGTGTGTGTGTGTGTGTGTGTGTCTAGGCTTACAGTCTCTTGTGTAGGTGTTTCAATGTGTTTGTGTGCTCTTCTGCTTAGGTGTGTCAGTTTGTGTGTGTGTGTGTGTGTGTGTGTGTGTGTGTGTAAAATAAAGTGATAGTGAGGTCAGTGTTGGAGGAGGTGAGTCAGTGTTTAGTGGGAGATATTTTGACAACAAATCCCTCGAGGGAGAGAGGTTGACTGAGGTAACCCAGCCACGGGGGGTTCAGACAAAGTACTGAAGTTGCATACTGAAGATGCACAATGTGGCCAAAAGTACGTGGACAGTCGAACAAAACACCTTTTGTGATTTGTAGCCAGGTCAGCGGCGGGACTCTTGGATGACAATGGCTTAGCATCTGCCAGATGGATTGGCACAAAACTGTCTTGGTCCCCAGAGGATGAATCCTCATGTGTTTTGATCCTCTGACTTTTCCCTCTATGACGCCACCATGACATTCACATTTATGTTTCGTTTAGCGCCTTCATCGGGTCAGAATTTCAATTTGTCCAATACTTTTTTTTTGACCAAATACTTTGAAACAAACAAGCTACACATTTGGTGATGATTAGCAAATGTTAGCCTACTAACATGCTACGTTAAGATGGTGAACATTGTATAATGTTAATGCTAAATATCAGCACGCACAGTTGTACAAAGCAGCTCCAGCTGTGGACTCTTAGTTCATGCTGCAGCTGCCCTTACAAAATATGTACTGTTGCACGCAGTATGCATGTAATTGTGACTTTGTCATAAGATTGCACCTTCAACTTTGACCCTCTTGCTCATATATCCGCTCCGCAGACGACTGTGGGTCAGAACATCCTGGTATTTTTTAGCATACTGCATTTGTAACACTATGTATTGGGACATACTAAATCTTTTCTGGCATACTAAATAGTATGGCAGTATGGGTATTGCACCTATGCAGCCACAAGAGCCTTGGTGAAGTTGGTTACTGATGTTGAACATTAAGGTCTCAGTTGTTTATTTCAGTTCATTCCAAATGTGCTCAATGCTGTTGTCTGTTCTCTCTGCAGGCAAGTCAAGTTCTTCTGCACCAAACCCTGAAAAACATTTCATCATGGATCTTTCTCTGACTCTCTTTCTCTCTCATGTTGGAACACAACATGGCCTCCTCCAAGCTGTTGGCACAAAGTTTGAAGCACATACATTGTCTAAAATACCACTTTGTGCTGTAGCCTTAAGATTCCCGTCGATTGGAATTAAGACACCTTGCCCAAACCATGACCGAAATACACATAGTATGCGTCCACATATACTCTTGACCACATAATGTGTACGGTGAAAGAAAAGTGCAGTCTGTGCTGTGCTGTGTGTGTGTGTGTATGTCTGTGGCTAAAGGACATGAGAAGTCAAGAGGAGGAGCGCAGGTGTGTGTGTGCCCTCTGTGATGGTGAGCGGAGGGCTTTTCCCCTGAGCAGGTCACTCTTCACAGTAAGTGAGGCACATATGGTTCACCTCTTTGTACTTCCCCGTGGCTCTGCCCGCATTTCAGACCTTGGAATTTTGCTTTTGCGTTTCTACCTCCAGTCCACACCCGGGCCAGAGAGTCGCTGCACACAATTCTTGGCTTCTGTTTGCCTGAGGTTTGACTTTTTTGTGTTCCTCTGTTATGATGAAATGCCTGTTTTTACAATATTTTGAATAGATTATTTTCTTGAATGACTGTGTATCATCACATCTTTGAGTTAAACTTGTGCACTTATTCTTTCCAGAAATGTGTATGAGAATGCCAGCAGACCAATTTCTGTTTAAAATACTAGACATTTAATTATGCTGCTTTGATTTTAAATTCTTTATTAGTAAAACATTTGTTGTTAAAGGGGTAACATGACAATTACTGTTATATAAATATATCTTAACATGTGCTAATGTCGAGTACTAATTAGTTTTGCATTGTCCATAAAACAAAGAATAGAACCATTTTGACCTGATGGTGGCACTAGATGAAAAGTCAGGGCATCACCAAAGTTTTTTTTTTTTTTTGAACATGAATACGTGGACCAAATTGCAATTCCTCCAATAGTTATTAAAACATTTCACTGAAAAACAGAAAAGTCAACCTTGCAGTGGCGCAAGAGGAAAAGTCACAGAATCAACAAAGTACTGTGCAGTCCTCAGGGTTAATCCTCTGGGGACCATGAGTGTCTCTACCAAATTGAATGGCAATCCATCCAGTAGTTTTAGAGAAATGTATAATTCTGGCATGGCTAAAAACTAAACTCCATCGGTAAACTGAGTTAAGATCTAGTGACTGTAAATGATTTGTATACCCATCAAACCATTAAAGTACCTTTGGCGCCCTGTATGGAAGCATCTGCTTTCCACACTATCTATTCAGACCTTTTTCTCATATGTCACCCATCTGTATTTCTGAATTCAATTTTGTGGTAAATCAATCAGCTTTTTTCCCGTCTGCTTCGTTCTTTCCTCTGAAAACAGACTGGATTGATTGATTCTTCATGCTACAGATGTCTGTGAATCCATATACTGCGGTCGAGGAGTGAAAGTGGTAGGACTGAAAATAGCCCGGAGCCTGTCCCAACTTCTAAATCAGTAAGTCAACACATCTGGAGGTCAGTGTGTCTAAAATCAAACACAATTAGCTCAGCCTTGTGTTGCTCACTTCATGTCTCTGTGCTTCCCATCACTTGTCTGTTCTTGGCTGTCTCTCTTCATTTGTCATGTTACGTTTTTTCCCTTATGGCCTTTTCCACTGCTGCTGCTCTTCACTCCTCATAAAGTTGCAGCTGTACTAATAAAGAAACAACAAGAAAAAACACTGTGAGGCTTGTGTTGTGATGTGGGAAGTCAAATGTAGTAAGGCTTTGAAGCAGGCTGCTAATTTGTTATTTGCCCCTTAAAAGAAATGATTCATGTTCATGTGAGGCCTGATTTTATTTTCTTTTTTTAAATAGACGTTTAGTGATGACTCTTCGTTCAAAAACACCAACTGAGCTGCCGCTCTGACCTTCTTGCTTCGCGTGCAAAGCACATATTATCACCCCCCCCC